CTATATAGACATATGTGGACCGATGAGAACATCATCACTAAACAACAACAGGTACTTTATCATTTTTATCGATGACTTTTCTAGAATAACCTAGGTTTACTTCATCATAGAAAAATCAGAAGTCTTTAAAATGTTTAGGAAGTTTACATGTCTCATTGAGAAACAAAGTGGAAGACACATAAAAGTTATGAGAAGTGATCGAGGTAAAGAATATAACTCACAAGAGTTTGATAAGTTCCGTAAAGTTGAAGGAATAAAAAGACAACTTACAATTGCATATATACCACAACAAAAATGGTGTATCAGAAAGGAAGAATCGCACAGTGATGAAGATGACAAGATCAATACTGAAGGAGAAAACTTTATCAAATAAGTTTTGGGCAGAAGCAGTCTACACTGTTGTATATATACTCAACAGATATCCAACTAAAGAAATCCAAGATAAGACTCCAATTGAAGCTTGGAGTGGGAAAAAACTATCAACTAAACACTTAGATGTTTTTTAATCTATCTACTACATATATTTACCAGATTATAAAAGACACAAATTAAAAGACAAGACTATATGAAGAATCTTCTTGAAATATATAACTAACTCAAAGTTGATTGGCTACACTGATAGTGATTGAATAAGATCGATAGATAACATGAAGAGTAAGTTAGGTTATACCTTCTTACAAAATTTTTCTCTTGGACATCTAAGAAGCAAGCAACAGTAACACAATCAACAACAGAGGTAAAGTACGTGGTAGCAGTTGAAATTACAAGTCAAATTATATTACTTTGAAGAATACTTAAAGAAATAAGGGAACAACAACATGGACTTATTATTTACTATGACAACAAGTCAATAATAGCAATGATTAAGAAATTCAATTTAGCATCAAATAACAAAACAAATAACTATTAAAGTAACTAATCAAATTTAACTTAAGTATTATGCATTTACCATGTCATTACTAAGAGCCAAATTTAAATAGTTATAATTCATACTTAGGATTACAAAAATTTGTATGAACGAGGAGTGTTAAAAGATCATACAAAATTCTAGAATAATTCAAAAAATATATGCATGTTAACCTTAAGAAAATTCTAGAAAACTATAGATAAAATAATCTATAAATATATAAAAGTTAAAGATAGTTTTAGAATTTATTTTGATAATTCTAGATTTAGGAAAAACTAGAATTATCTAAAATATTATAGACTCTTTTAAAAGTAATGGATCAAAATCTATAATTAGATGTATAATAAATATAAAAACTAATACAAACTCGTACATATTTCTAAATTCTCCTGTACCTTTCTAATTATTTGTAATATTAAGTGAGATAAATTCAAACATACTTGAATTAATATCTAATAGACTAGCTAGCACATTGAGAAACCGGAAAGTGGTTACCTTAACACAATGAAGGCAAAAAAAAAAAAACGACCAGCTCTCTCCCTGCAGAAATTAAGCACAGATCCTTCATCAATCCACTTCAAAGCATTGAGATCACTTGAAAATGAAGTTGCAATAAACCAATATATTCATCCTGCATTGGGTTTAACGACTTCTGAAGTCGGTTTTGAAATTGTTAAATAAGCCGGCTATTAAATTTAAATAGATTTTATTTCCAAATTAAATTTGTATTTACTAAGTATTGAATTTTAATTTTATTTAAAATATAGATAATGGAATATAGAATCTCTTTGCTACTTTATCATTCAACTAACAACTAAATGAAGCATATCGACTGACTAAAAATATATACATTTTTTAATTATCTTTATATTTATATATATAATAAAATATTTTACATTTAATTTGTATATTAAAATATATTTTGGGTACCCCATATTTTATACTTAAGCTCCATCACTCTTGATTTATTATGTGTGTGCTGATGTTAAAGTTAGAGAAGAAGAAAAATAAGATATTATAGGTTAAATTACAATTTTCATTTTCTTTAATTCTAATCCGCTATTTTGATCTCTATGTATTTTTTATGATTTTAACCCCTAATTTAAAAAAAATAATAATAATTTTGGTATCCTTAAATATAAACCATTTCATTAAAACTCCATTAAAAAATGATATAATTAATTACAAACTTTTAAATTAAGAATTATATAATTAATTAACTTTTAAAAACAAAACAAATTAACGTGTACAAAATTAAAACTAAACTAAAATTACATATTTTAAAAATTTATATAAAAATAAACTCCAATACAGCAGCATTTAATAGTTTTTGTCATTTGGGAAAATGACGTGACATTGCTTCGGGAAGAAACGTTACTTAAAAAAAAGACTATACTGTGAGAGAACTTAAAAGGTAAAATACTTAATATATGCAAATTTAGATTAAATTATTCTCATTTATTAATTTAGATTAAATTATCCAAACACGAATCTCAATTTTTTCAAATATTTGTTTTTTCATTTTTTGTTCTTTGATTATTTATTTTTTTCCTTCTCTAAAAATAACATCTTCCTTTGAATCCTTGAATCTATAAGTGAGAATTTGATAATGATAGCTTCCTTTATACTTTTAATGAAATCGTTTCCTTAAGAAAAATAATGAACAAGATTACTACCACAACCATAAATCTATCATATAATCATTAGTACTTGCCTCTGTGAAGCCAATCTAAACAACCAGAAGAACTGATGAATCCAGAAGAAAGAAAGAAAACAGTGAAAGTGATAAGACTGCAGATTCCCTGCATAACATTTTGGCATATTAAGATTTGTACCACAATACCCTGTAATAATGAAAAGTTTCAAGATTTAACTAATTTAGATTTGAATATATGCCAAACACAAACATTTATCTACTTTATTAATTAATAGATTCACAACTGAAGAAGATGAGTAGCACAGAGACAAACTTCAACTTACATGATCACTCTGAAGAATGCAAAGAAAAACAGTGAGAAAGGAAAAGGCTGCAGAATCCAAGCTTCCTTCAGAAAATGAAGTTGCAAAAAGTAATAATGGCACAATGAGATTTGCAGCACAAATACAGACAAAATCATTATTTATATATTTCAGTAATGTGCAGATATGATGCGTCCTGAACCACCGACAAATGCGTTGAAGTCTACTTTTCAAATCACTCATTATTCTCAATATTATACATTTTCTTTGCCCCCATGATGTTAAAAAATTTAAGCGTGATTCATGATGACTTATTACTTAACATTTGTGTCATCTCATCTGCATACCTTGCTCGGATCCACTACTTTCTCTTTCATATGTCTCTGTAATCAACTACTTTTTTTATTGTGATATTAAGAGGAAAACATATTTAAGAGAAAATATAAATGAAATTGGTGCATTTTCTAACAAGTTTCCAATACTATACGCCTTAAAAATACCTAGATTTCGCAATATTAGTGTGCTAACATAGCTTTTGAACATGAAAATTAGGGTGCATTGTACTTTTGCATAACCTGTCAGAACAAGTTTTCAATATCACAGGACCCATGATGACGATATATTTCAAATTCTTTAGCATGAAAGGTATTGGGGGTATTAGTTTTTATTTTACTAAAAGATGTATGAAGGGATCTAAAAGTCAAATCTAATCTTACCAATCAACTTCATTTTCGAGACACGTCGTCCTAGTGGGAAAGGTGCTTCTCATCTTCTCACATTCACTTACAAAAAGGCTTTGAAGACTCTTTCTAACAAAATTTGATCCCCTTTAGAGAATAAATATCAAAGCCATCATTCAATTTTGAAATTGCCAGAGACCTCAATTTCTATACTTCTCTGGCATCTTGAAACCAGACTCTGATAACAATCTTGTAACTATATATAACTGGTCAAACAACAAGTTTTTTGGCAAATAAGAAACCTCTGGGAATTTGAGGTCTCTGAGTTTTCAACCCATTACACTTGTTGGCAATTTGATCTGCTTAGTTTTCAAATTCAGAATTCTGGTCACCTATAAATTCACAATTTGGCCGTTTGCAGTAACAATTTATCTCTCACAATCAGTTTATTTTTTTCATTCACAATACTGGTTTTTGAGAACTTGTTTAAGGAGTACTTGGACCAATGACATGTTAATAAGTGAACCTGACTTTTGAGGATAATGTATTTCGAATAAGTTTTCTTTTCAGATCAAAGTATATATATTTGATTACATGTTGATTGATGAGCAAGTGGTAAAAAAAAATCAATATGATGCATTAGACCAACTAAATTATTGTAAATCCAGTACAATTTTGGCAGTTGTTGGATAAGAGAAATTCTTTTTTTTTTCTATTTTATGTAAAAATTTCTACAATCGCACAACTTTTTTCACCAAAGTGAAATCAAACCTTAATATTGGTGCGGCTTGACTGTGAAAATTAATCATATCACTTTTCTTTAAGTGCGAATAAACATATTGAGTGGTACTTAGTTCTATTATTATTGAGGATGACACCATGCCCATTTGTTTGATTAAATAGCCCGTTATTCATTTGACAAGATTTTAATTGAAAGAATTCCCATGAATTAATATTTTCGTATTTGACTTGATTAAATGTACTAGGTTATACAATTTCAAATGACAAAGAAGATATCGCATATAGCATTTTCAATGGTTACATCATCATCAAAACTTTCGAAGGAAATCATTGCTTTATGGATAGGAACTCATCATAAAAGAATTTCCACAAGACAGATAAACTGCCCATGCATACAGATAAAATTGTAATACATGATCTGCTCCATTTTTTAGAAAATAACACCAATCAATTCCCAGTACTAACAAAGGAGAAAATATTACACAAATTACACATATATTAGGCCAAAAAATAGGTAAAACATGTGTGCAACTTGAAGAAACAAATGATCTAAAGGGACTAAGATATGAAAGAGACAATAACTCTAATGGGACATATTTGGTAGAATCACCTTACTTAACTCCCCTGCAACCCAAATGACAAAAATTGACTCAGGTGTCTTGGCTTTGGCTCATTTCCACTATATATACAGATTCCCTTCCTACAAAAGCAACCTACAACTCTTGTTTTACATCACTATTGCATATAAAAACAGAATCTACACACAAACCACCTTTGGTATGCGTGCAATCAATCTGAGCCAATGAAAATTTGACCTTCATCAGATCATTTGGATTCTTAGAAACAAAGTTTCCTGCGTGGTAGAGAACCCAGTGCCCATGGTTATCCAAATGAGTTTGGCATACAGCATGTTGACCATCAGAAGTTGTTAGCTGAAATTTTACAGGTTTTATATTCCAACCATGAATATCATCAGTCTTACAAACTCGACGACCTAGTCTCTTGGAAGATCGGCCAAGCTGGAGTCTGAAGAAAACACTGTATGTCCCAGGTGGAAATTGAAAATCAACATCTCCTTCCACTTCAAGCCACCAAATTTGTTGAAGATAAGCAACTGTATGGAATCTGTTATGGAAAAAAAATAGTATAATACATCAAGTTCCATCACCTAGTGCATACAAAGTATGTCATAACTTCAAAGGGAAGAGAGGAGTCGTGCAATTTCATGTGTTTGAGCAGAAGGTGGCTAAAACAGGGTTGCAATTTTTTAAGTAAATATAATAAATAGAAGCCAATTGTCCAAGTTACACAGGTATAAACCAGTTAGTTGCAAACTATTAGTGTAAAACCTGAAAATCTTTAGTTTGGCTCATTTAAATAATCAAAATAAACTACAAATTTTATAGCCATTCATTTAGTTTAACAAATTAACTCAAACGAACATTTAACATACCAGGTTCAATTAATTAACTGATAACTAAACTCATTCAGTCCCATGTATAAGAGATTTGATATTAGATAACCTTGACTATTTGTAAAATGGATTTGGAGAAGTTGAAAAATCCAATCTTCCAGTTTATCAACAAGTTAATTATGAACAAACCCAGAAGGATAAAAATCTTTGACATTAATCCACATAAGAGAATAAAAATAAAAATCCAGCAAATGAAATGTTTTACATTTCAACTCATAAAGACGTAAACACAATAAAACAAAGTCCGAGTAACATCAACATATTTTCACTTACAATTATCTCACCTTGACTCTTCTGTCGAAATGCGACTCCAATATCTCCGATCATCTATCCCTGTAATCCTCAACGCTTGGGAAGAAATCGCCATACACATCCCACCCGTCCTCTTATCCAGCCAAATTTCCTAAACCAAAATAACATATTTTTCACATTAAACACCAATCACTTGAAGAGTATTGTATACAGAGGATGAGCATAGACAAGGACAAAGCTAATATTCAGTTGCATAAGTATTTTTGGTATTATAATCCCACTGAATAGGAGTTTTACCTAAAATAATTCACATAAAAAGGTTGAATTAAAGTTCAAAAGGTGAAACTCTAAGTCTGGTCGAAAACTAACACAGAAAACAATCTAAAAACTCACCTTGGTCCCGTTGTCAAACAAATTAGGCCTGCAGAGTCTAGCATAAATATCCCTCTTCCCCGAGTCTTCTACAGAAACATCCTTCAAAGCTTTCTCCACGATGAACTTATAATTCAAAGGCAACTTTGATTCCCAAATGAAATCAGCTAACGAAGCATCGCGAAACGCCCTGTTCAATCGTGCAAGCATGCAAATATCTGGTGGGTCCAAATACATCAACAACAATGCCACACAGCTCTCGGGTAAATCTCCAAGCCTTGGCCTCATAGGGGTTGCATCCCCATCACAAACACAAGAGGAAAAACTACCACCCATGTGGACGCAAACCTAACCAAATTAAACCACTTTGTTTTGCACCCCAAATATGAATGCCTATTTCCTCCCCACCCAGAAAATGAATTGAACTCAAATTTTGATCTTGAACCTGAATTTATCAATTCCACACACCCAGAATCCGAATCGGCCTCAGAACTTGAGTTTGAACCTGAACTTATCGATCTTCTGAGAAAGGGCTAGAGAGGGAAAGGTGAAGAGAACAGTGATTTGAGTCAAATTCATGAGATTTTGAAGAGAATTGAGAGGCCAAGACGAGATCTTGGGTGTCTCTTTCTTTGAGAATTGTTCACGGTGGAGACTTTTACAACCCGTGTTCCGGGATTCCTAGGTGTCGTATAAAGGAGATATGGTATGGAAACGACATGATTGATGAAAGTAAACGACACACCGTTTAGCAGCTGAACTGAGATTTTTGCGAATCTTAAAGATACATGAAGTGTGCGATGTGGCGATCGGAATACTACTAGGTTGGTGGTTCTTATCCAGAACCAAGGATTTTTCTCGACTGTTTCCGAGTTGTTTTGTGTCAGCTTCGGAGTCACTCACTCCCATATGTTTTTATATCTTAACAACTCTCTAAAATAAGTTTGCTAGTTTGGTAGGGATGATAAAGAAGTGAAAGAAAATGAATAGAAATTTTTCAAAAATGAAAATAAAAATTATTTTTACCTTATATATAAAGTGAATTATTTATCTTCTATCACATCAACTAAATTAAATTACTTTAAAAAAATCTATTTATATTTTTTTTTCATTTTTCCTTATTTACATTCTTTCTTTCTATTTCAAAACCAAACCCTCTCTAAATTTGTCACCAATTTATATTTTAATCATTCAACAACTAATTTAATAAAAAATAATTTGATGCTAATAACATAACTTGAAGCTTAAAATTTCTATACATGAAAAATAATGATAAATATTTTTTATGCAATTTAAAAAAATACTCTCATTTATCATTTATTACTACATTATAAATGAAAACGCCATAAAGTGAAAGGCTAAAGTGCATATACTTGGGAAGGAAATACTAGTATTTATCATTAGATTTTAATTTAAAAAATTTATTCAATTTAGTTCTGATTTTCCAAAATTATTCTATCATTCATGTTTTTTTATATATATCTTTAAATAATCATATAACTTATAGTTATATTTTAAAAGTTTATATGTAATCACGGATTATTTTCTTAGTTTTTTATATTAAATTTTCTTTAATAACTATTTGGATAAAGGTTTTTAAGTTAATAAATTATGTAAATTTATTGTTCATAGTCTATATTTTAAAAGTTGTTTTCTTATTGTAAATTAATCTTACACAATATCTTAAAATATTCTCAACTTAAAATAAAAATAACATTAAAATAAACGTTATAATATTATTATGTTAATTTGTGTAATTCTTAAAGTATAACCAAATTTACCATATTTAAAACGGATAAAATAACAATTTAGAAAGTATTCTAACATCAAAACGAAAGAAAAATAATAAATTAAAAGATAATATTAAAAAAATGTTATTTGAAGTATCGTATTAAAAACACAAAAAGCACTAAAAATAATTATTTGCCAAGCATTAAAGAAATTTCAACAAGAACTATAAATTAACTCAATAGCTTGTGGAACATTCTCAATTTATCAATGTTTATTTGTTGGTTTTGTTAACAAATTTCTCCATAAACATTTTTTAAAAACATTGAAAAAAATAAATTTCTTCATTACTCAAAAAAATAGAACTCCCTACTTGATGTCTATTTAAGGATAACTACTTGAACACAATCATCGTAATGATTAATGGATAAGAAAATTTTGAGTTTGGAAGAGTTTGACCAAAACTAATAGAGATTTCATAAGTTAATTCAATTATAAACAACAATAATTGAGTCAACAATCAAATAATTCACGAGTAATGTTACATTTTTATACTAAGAAAAGTATTAAATAAATAAAAAAATTAAGATATTTAATGAATTGAAAAGTACATACCATCAAAATTTAGAAAAACTAAAAGAGAATGTTATAAAATGATTAAGAATTATTCAAAAGAAAAAACAACAGATTTGAATTGGGTTCAAATCATACTTCAAAACTTATTTTAAAAAACAATTTAAATTAAATTATATTGTTTACTGGATATTATTCAATAATTAGTTGAATAAATATTTGTTTTAAAACTTCTATAAATTAAAAGGTAAATTTGTTAACTATTATTTATTTGTTCTTTGATATATCGTAAAACTATTTATTTAGTTGAAATTCTATTCTATGAGATCCTTAATGATTATTCATGTGCTTTTTTATAATCGTGATTCTTATAATTAGATTTTATTTTTAAAAATATTTATATTTTTACTTTTTATCTTCTATTTTTATCATTACTAATAAATAAAACCATGTTAATAATTTTTTGAAAGCGCGAGATACAACAAATAAAATTAAATTGAAAATAGTATTTGATAGGATAATATATCTTACAAGTTGCAAAGATAAAAAAAAAGTCATTAATATTTTTATTTTGAATTCTTAGAGGGATAATAGAAAGAAATTCTTAAATTTACCACATTAGAATTAATATTAGGAATATGTTAATTATAATTATAAAATTTTAAAACTCTTGTCTATAATCCAACATTGATTGATTGCTTGCTTATAATTATCAAGAAAGTAAGATTATAATCCATCACTTTAAATTGAAAGGCTTAAGAAATTAAAAATTAAATAATTTAATGAATTTATGAAATTGATATTAAGATGTAAGTTTATTTTCAAGTTATTTGTGATTTATATTTATTACATCACATTCCTATAATCTGTCTTCGCAATTCATTTCATTTAAATTTAGAGTTTAATTTCTTTTATTTTGATATATTTTATTTTTAAAGTAAAATAGTATATTTATATTTATATTTACATTTACATTTTTATTTAACTTGAATATTGCGCTTGATATTCGTTGTTTAGATTTAAAAAGTCTATTTTGCCAACACTTAACAAATTTATCATTTATTTTAATATCATTTGGTGTTAGAATCTAATATATTTGATTAGCTTAATTTATACGAGATGTGATATTTAATACTATATTAATTTGTACGGGGAAAAAATGCTACACTAATTTTGAGTATATAACAATTTATTTTAATATTTAAATATAATTTTAACAGAAATTATTGTATTTTATACGAATGCATATACGTGAAGGAGATGAGTTCGTTGAGGATTAGAACACGGCACGTATATTTTATTCACAATGCATTGTCTTTGTTGTTGTTAAATAAACCACAATTAATGTATTTTAATTTATAAAAAAGTTAATTTCAATTTTTTTCTTATTTTTTTTGTCCTTTAAAAATGTTTAACTATCACTATTTAAATTTGTTGACAAACCAACTTTTATAATGTTACAAAATAATATCAAATTTAAAAATGTGTTGATCAAATCAACCATAGATTAGTTCTAATCAAATCTCGTATAAAAAAAATCGCATTCACATTGCATTGTTCACATTCATTTGTACGATAATGAGTAGTTTCAGAAACCAAATGCATGATATCACGTAAGTTGCTAGGGTTAGACGTAAACAACACAAGTTCATGCATGCATATTTACGAAAAAACAAAACTCCTAATCATTAAATGCTGCATACATCACAACTGAATGCACATACATCCAATTTTAACACAACACAAAGAATGTAAAATGTGGATTCAAGATTACAATTAGATTTTAAAAGATAAAAACAATTGTTATAACGTTTTTACGAAGGAAAACAAAAATTGTCCTTGCAAGGGTGGAGGATCTTCCACTACTTTAAGATCTAAACCTACATTTTCATGTTCTCTCCTAATCTATGTACTTCCCGGTGAGTCTAACAGAAAAATGATTATACCTAAAAATCACGCTCAAGTCAACAAACTAAAGATAAATATAATTAATTAATATTTTTAAAATTGGTCAAGTCATTAAATCATTGAAAATATGAGTTTGAAATTTAAAAATTCATTTAAGATTTAATTAGATCTAATTAAATTTATTAAAATAATATTTTTATAATATAATAAATTTATTAGAAACAAATATATAATATTTGTATAAATATTATTATCATAAATTAAAATGAAAATTACAAATATAAAATATAATAAAAAATATAAGATGAATAATTATTCAAATAAAATAAAAATATAATAAAATTATTATTGTTTAAAATTAATATAACATAAAAAAATTAAAATATATTATATCTTTATAAAAATTATTTTTTATTTTATTTATTTTTACTAAAATTGATTTAATAAAAGAACTTAACTAATTTTATCAATTTTGTTTCGATTTAATTAAAATTTAATTAATAGAAACAAATCATTTTTTTAGATCCGTTAAACTATTTAGTCCAACTTTTAAAACTATATATATATATATATATATATATATATATATATATATATATATATATATATATGTATATATAAGAATAAACAATATTTATCTAATAAGTACTTATTGAGATCTCATATTTCTTAATTATCCAATAATCTTCTTAAATATAAAATTTAACTAATTACTAAGCACTTACTGAGACTTTATCAGCACAAATAAATAAATAAATTTTTTTATTTTTTTATTTTTTCTCTTATGCATAAATATACAACAATATTATACACCTTTCATTTAGAAAATAAAGAAGAACCACTTATTTATTATATGATGAAGTGTACGTAACATTATTTTATATTTGATTGTAGATTGATTATTCTATACCGTCGGCTAAGAGGCATGATGGAATGAATACTTTAGAATTTTGATAATCTAATTACAAAAGCTGTGAAAATCTTGTTCAAACATAATTCATACTTTAAAAAATTAATAGTTTCTCAAATGTTGCCTGATCTCATTCTTATCCATTGGAATAAACAAATCTAAGTTCTTATCCAAATACTAGGTTTTTGTTGACCTTCATTGATTTCATAGATACCATTAATCATAGATTTTGATCATAGTTATGTTGTTCTTGCTATTGTGTTGTGTTGTGAGCTTAAATGTTTAATTTATTTTAAAATATTGATTTTAATTTAACAATATGAAAAGAATTACGAAGATATATTATGTTTTTGGTATGTAGTTAACAAACATGTGTTGTCCTAAAAATCAATTTGGTCCCAGCAAAGACCCCAAACATGTGTTATCTTTTGAAAAGAATATGAGACAAAAATTGCTCCGTTGAGATCCAATAATACATTGGTATTTAATACGAGAAGACAAAGCAGAAAAAAGAAGATATGAAATGTGTTGAGGTGTCACACGTAAGAATTTTTGCTTCATCACAAAATTAATCATCATCATCATCATCTATATATCTTTGTCCGAGTCAGACAAAACTAATGACACCAATTTCATTTTGGGTTCTTATACTTTGGATTCTTTGGTAATTTTATGTTATCAACATATGCGAAGAAAATATACATTGATTTTTTATTTTTTTTATCAACAATTCGTGGAATTATGTGGAATGTTCACCCTAGATCTAAGAGGGTCGTGTACCATTTTTGTTCTGACATTTTTTGTTCAAGTTTTTAGTTTTAGGTTGTGCATTTTCAGGCTTTTCTATGATTTTTTTTTATCAATAATATTTTCTTTAATTTGAGTATTACATGTATCAATTTTACTGTTTATATGTTTATTAAGATTTTTCACGTGTTATATTAAGTTTCTTCAATTGACATGATACATTATGATATAATGCAAAATATATTATTTTAATAAAAAAATTGTGAAATTATAAGAATTTGTTTTTAAATAATTCAATAGTTTAAAATAAAATAAATATAAATAAATTTCCATTAAAGTACTAAAATAAAAAAATATAATTTATTAAGTACCTAATTTAAAAGGGAAAATTATAAAAAAACTTGTTAAATTATAAGAATTTTTTTAAAATAATTCAAGAATTTAAAACAAAATAAATATTAAAAAATTTCTATTAAAGAATTGAAATAAAATGTTTGATTTATTAAGTACTTAATTTAAAAGGAAAATTTTTTGAATATTTGAAACAAAAAATTTCATACATTAAAACCTAAAATTTATTTTAGCCCCAAAAAAAAAAGAAAATTAGTGAATTCGGTTTTAATTTCGTCTCATATTTTTATATTTGTTGAGGTAAGTGTTATTGAGATCCATATCATATTGAGTGTGGTGGTTCTCATTAAAGTATTATAGCTAATTAATTGGTCTCTATATTAACTTTGTGAAGTCATAAGCATACCGGAATACTAACCAAATTAATAATGTTGATTAATAATTTTTATTAAAGAAAAATAAAACATCAATAGGAAGTATTGATAAGGTTACTTTATAAATTGAAATTGACATATTTAATTGAAAGATTAAAAACCTCAAGAGTGGGGAACGGTCCATATAAACCCACAGCAAAACATCAATCCACAACAACCCACAACAAATCAACAATCCACGTATTCAAAAGAACCCTTACCCATCTCACGTCACCCTGCGAACCCCAAATCGACACCAACTGCGTGCCACCTCTTCTCCTAATCTCGTCGCCGCAACCATGTCTCCTCCCCAAATAGACACTGTGAGCCACCTCGCATCACAACTCTCACCTCCTCCTTAACTCTAACCACCACCGCACCCACAACACCATCCGTCACGGTGCATTCCATCTCTTCACTCCTCCTCACTCCACGAACCCTAACCCCAAACCACTGCAGCCACCACGCCGCGTCTCCCCCACTGCACCGTACACCGCGATTCGCTGCCCCCTCACTATCCCTGGCTCTTGTGATTGTGGCTCCCCTCTTCTTAGGGGTATTAAAGTTAGGTGTATGATGGTTAAAAGAGAAATGAGTTTGAAAGAGAGATGGGTTTAAAAGAGATATGCGGTTAAGAGAGACAATGCCCAAAATCTTTTTAGGGGTGAAAATAGTAAAATCGGGCTTCGAATATTGAATCAAATTAATTTTTAGGCCCAATAAATTGGATTGATGGTCCAAGTTGGATTCAGCAAAAAAAAGATTTGAGGATAAAAATAACAAAAAAGGATTTCAAACCTGACATGATTTTTTTTAGTTATTGAGCCTAATTTTTTATTTATATTTTTTTATTAAACTTGAGATAATATAATAAAAATAATTTATAAATAATAATAAGTATGAAAGATTATTTATTATTATTATATTTTTTATTATTATTCAAATTTCAGAAATGATTCCACTTCTTTTTTTAATAAGTATACCACTATTAGAATATTAGAAATAAAATTTTAATAATTATCATTTTCTTTTTTGAATATAATTTTATGTAGAAATAAAATTTCAATAATTATCATTTTTTTATTCGAATATTATTTTATGAAATTATTAAATATGTAGTATTATTGTTATTAGGATTGTAATAAAATATTTCATAAACACAGGTTAAAAACTTTCTATTCATATCTGATTTCATTGTTATAAAATTATAATAATCAATTTAAATATACTTTTGATCAGAAAATTAAAATATATTATAAATTATTATAAATATAATAATTTAAATATTAAAATATTAATTATTATTTTGGGTTATTTTTTATTTAATTATTACTCAAATTATAAAAATGATAATAAATTTATATGTATTTTTAATTTAATTATAACATAATTATTTAATTTTAAAATAATTATAGACATATATTTAACTTAGATAAATTAAAATAAGTTATTTACAAATATTTTCAAAAAATAACTATATTATTTGACTCTCCATTATACTTGCAATGCATAGGAAAATCAGAGTAGTAATCTCTATCGAGCAACAAATATAAATATATATATATATATATATATATATATATATATATATATATTATTTAAATAACAACATTTAATGGTTATATAATTTAGAAGAATAAAATAAATTTAAGACATTTTACTCTTTCATATCTAATTAAAAGTAAAAAAAATTTAGAAAAAATATTGTAAGGTATTAATACTTTTTTTTTATACATAATTAACTCTTAGATTCAACTTTTATTTTGCATATCATTATTTTTATTTTTAAATATTTTTTTGGGTATTTTCCTTAAAATAGATGTCAGTGACAACTCTATTATTTTTTTACATTTAGAAACATATTTTTTTTCCAACCGCGATTTTGCTTGCAACAACTGTCTTATGGCATATACGAATCAATGAAATGAAGATAAAAACTATCTTACGAAAAAATAATATGTTATTTTCATATAAATGTTTTATTTTTAAAAAATATCTATTTTATTTTTATCTGTATAAAAAAATTGTTAAAAAGAAGAGTTAGATTTATGAAAAGTATTTTCTTTTGTTATAGACCACAAACATCAACATTTTTGGAGTATTTAAACTTAGGATTTCTGGTTAAACTTTTCAAATAGTTAATTAGAAACAAATTATTTGGGGTCTGATGTGAGGGAGGGGTTCAAGCCCAAACCAAAAACAGATTTGTTTCAGGCAACACCCCCAACTTTCTTCCTACACCCATATTTATATAAAATGATAATATTATCTCTAATATAATAGGTCCAAAAATTTCATTCCAGATAGATTGACATTTTTGGAAGCCTTCTGGAATTAATTTTATGAAAATATTTTTGAAAATTGATTTTGGAATACTTCCAAAAAGCTTACAGAAAAGTCAATCCAAACATTTTTTAGAATTTTCGGAAAACTAATTCTAAAATGCTTCTGAAAAACTAGTAGAAAGATCTATATGAAATTTGTTCAGAATGAGCTTTCCAAAAAAAATTCAGATTGACTTTTTTGAAAAATTTTCGAATTCCGGTATCATTTTTTCAAAATATTTTCATAAAGATGATTCCAAAAGTGTTTTTGAAAAACTTAACAAAAAAGTCAATCTAAAAAATGTTCAACAAATTTATTCCAATTTTTTTTCAAAAGAGTGTATCGGTAATGTATGCACGATCACTTATGAATTCATTGCATTTCTTTGTAGGTTTCGTCATGTGTTTCTCTACACCTCTACATCAGGAATGGTGTGAACACGATAGTATTAAGAGGTGTAGAATCATAAAAGTACATAAAAAAAAGTTAAATATACACAGAATATTCTTGTCGTTATTGATTACGGGGTCTAGGAAGAAAATACCATAAAAAAGATTGAAGTGTAGAAAGAATGTGCCTTGTTTTAGGGCTAAGCCCAGCATCTATTATTCTCTAGGAAATTATCCATCTTGTTCTTTTCTTGCGTGTAACTCCATAAGCTTTTCTTGAAGAGTGTTCATGATCTATTCAGTTTAGAACTGTTAAAAAGTATCTTCAAATATTACTTTCTTCACAGATTAAACAAGGATTCCTTTCTTAAAACTATCTATATGCACATTCTATTTTTTTTTCTTTTTAAATTCTATCTTCTTCTATTATTTATAGAGGAACCAACATGTACTTTGATGTTTGAATTAGTATATAATCCTGTGTAGGGTACCTTCTCCACATGCTGAGGCTCTTGTAGTTGTGTGAAAGTGCCAAGTCTTGCAACATTGATCAGCACACAATGGTTATGTCACGAGACTCCCCTTCTCTGGGATGAGACTCCTCAACAAAATGTTATAGTTGAAAACGGAAGCTTAATTATTATCCGGTATTAAACCGGTTTTCTACTAAAGCAAAGAAATTTTGAGTTAAATTTCTAATTTCATATTTACCTTTCAATAGATAAACCCATGTGTACCTTGAAAAATCATCAACAACAGTAAGAAAATAAACATGACCATGAATATAACTAGTAGACAGAGGTCCCAAAATGTCAACATGAATCATATAAAAAGATTTAGTTTCACTCAGGGTATATGACAATTTGTCTTTGTTTAGCAATATTACATATATCACAAACAATGTGTCTATCATTATTAATGAAAGGAAATTGTTTCTTTAAAACAATCAATCTATCGAAAGAAAGATGACCTAATCTATAGTACCATAAATTTTTATTAACAGCAACGAAATTACAATTATTAGTATCTGGATGAAGCATGGAAACATAAGAATGAGTGTCAGTAGGATCTTTCGGCAGGTAAAGTCCATTTCTAATCTTAGTTGTACCAATCATCTTGCAGGTACTGGAACTCTGAATCCAGCAACAAGTATCAGAAAAGATTAGTTTACAATTTAAAATAATAGTCAATCTGGATATAGAAATAAGATTGTATTGGAAATTAGGTAAATAGAGAACATCCGTTAAGTAAAGAAAGGAAGAAAAATGTATGGTTCCAGAAACGTTAGTCACAAACATTCGGAAGATTCACATGCACATGTTTAATATACTTGTAAGAAGTAAAAAAGGACAAAGAAAAACATATGTGATCAGTAGCACCCGTATCTAAAATCCACTCATCTTTAAATACTTTACCATTATGAGTAGGACTGGTGCTATGTGTTTGAACGGAGTACAGATTCACTTGCACATTGTTGTTATGTTGAGTCAGGTTCTGGTTGGGATTTTGAGGAAGCAGGGCTAGCAAGTTTTGGTATTGCTTAGTTGTGAACCCGAACGTCTGTTCCTGGGCACCGTCGCTTGTCTCTCCAGTGTTAGTCAAATTGTCAGAAACCGCCACATTAGTTGTCCGATTTGCGTATTTGGGGTTCTTGAATTTGAATCCTGGGGGAAACCCATGTTTCCTATAGCAAACATCACAGTGTGCCCCATTTTTCCACAATGCGAACAAATTTTTCCAGTCTGCTGTTAAAATTTCTGATGATTATTGCCTTTGTAATTATTGTATTTCTTCGATTCTTAGTTAGAGCCTTCACTAATGTTGAGAACCTTAGAATTTTCGGAATGCTCGATATGGAACTGCCTTTCTTGTTGAACGATGAGTGAATATACCTGATAGTAGGAAGGGGATCAATAAGCATGATTTGAGATCTGACATTAGAATATTGTTCATTTAACCCTTTCAAGAACCTCACCATAGTATCAACATTCCTTTGATTCTTTAGCTTGGTCAGGGTACCACAAGTGCACTTCGCATTACAGGTGCAAACAGGTATTAGATTCAAAACATCAAGTTCATCTAATAAAATCTTCATACCCGTATAATACTTGGTTACAGATAAATCTCCTTGTTTGAAACTATAAATTTCTTCTTGCAACTCAAAAATTCTGAAAAGATTTGCATTGAGACAACCTTTCTTTGAGTTCTGCCCAAACATCTGAAGCCTTGTCTCTCCATATAACAGATCGAGCGATCTCAGAGCTCATAGACTGAATAAGCCATCGGAGAACATAGGTGTTGCATCGCTCCCAAAAAGGATGAATAGAGCTAGTTGCGTTTGGTTCTAGAATTGTACCATCGATGAAGCCAACTTTGTTCTTGGTTAACAGACTCATTTTCATTGATCTGGACCAGGTGTGATAGTTCCCATCAGTAAGGAGATCCAGAACAAGAACCATTGTAGGATTTTTGTTTGGATGAATGTAATATGGACATGCTGGATTCTGCATATCCTCCAAATTGTACGTTACTATGATCAGAGTTACGCAGCAGAACCCTCCTAAGAGAGCTTTGATACCATAACAGGTATGGTCAAACAGATATTGAGCGAAAGAAAAGAATTCAGAAAATAAAGAAAGAGTGATCGAACTCAAGAAAAGAAAGAAACTGAATATATTTCATTAATTGAGAGAAAGAAAGGGACTTTTTTTCATAAATAATACTTTTTTTAAAAATATTTTCCAAAATAGCACCTCTGCAACTTTATTTACACAACTAGCACTGTTTACTGTTCATCGTAATAAAATAATATTATTTTGCGCAACTTTTACTGTTCACGTATTAAAATAATATTATTTTGCGCAATGAACTCTCGCTCAAGCGAAGAAACCCTTCGCTTGAGCGAGGAAATCCGTAAGAACGCAATTATCTCTGGTCAACTCTCGCTCAAGCGACGGATATTTTGCTTGAGCGATAAGTGATTAAAATATGTGGTGACCCAAGTTGCGTTATGTGGCTAACTGCGTTGGACGTTTAGCCACATATTTCAATCACTTTTCGCTCAAGCTAAATATACGTCGCTTGAGCGATAGTTGACCCGAGACTTAAGATAGCGATTCCAGAACTAACCGCAATTAAAAATATATTTTAAATAGCGGTTAACGTGGAACCACTATTATATGTTCACTTCTAAGAGCGGTTAAAATATTAACCGCTCTTAAAAGTGAGACATATAGTTGGAACGTGGGCAACTCTCGCTCAAGCGAGAGACTCATCGCTTGAGCGAATCATTTATAATCGATTATAACGTGAAATAATCGATGATAGTTTTAAAAATAATCGACATATAATAGCGGTTCCACGTTAACCGCTATATAAAACATACTTTTAATAGCGGTTACTGCTAGAACCGCTATCTAAGGTTACTCAAGTGAAAAACACATCGCTTGAGCGAGAACACCTGGAAAAATGGGTGTTTCTCGGGTTCTTTTCGCTCAAGCGACGTTGTGAACGCTTGAGCGACAAGTGATTCTAATATGTGGTGAACCAAGTTATATTATTTGGCTACCTGCGTTTGACGTTTCATCATTTGGTCAAAACTCGCTCAAGCGACAAAGTATCGCTTGAGCGAGGAAGCCTTCAAACAAGGGGGACTCTCAGGTTCTGTTTCGCTCAAGCGACGGGTACTTTCGCTTGAGCGATAAGTGATTGAAATATGTGGTGACCCAAGTTGCATTATGTGGCTAACTGCGTTGGACGTTTAGCCAAATAATGCAACTTGGGTAAATTCTAGCTCAAGCGACGGTAATTTCGCTTGAGCGAGAAGTGATTGAAATATGTGGTGACCCAGGTTGCATTATGTGGCTAACTGCATTGGACGTTTAGCAATAGTCAAGTATCACTCGAGCGAGAAGTTCATCGCTTGAGCGAAAAAACCTGCAGGTGACCCAGGTTGCATTATATGATGTTGCTGAAAGGGGAGTTTGTTTTGTTTATGAAATTATCTTGTGTCTGTATTGTTTTACCTGGAGCTGACTGTAATTGATTCATTGAAGGTGAATATGGGGATGATAGCATGTAAAGAGAATTTAAAATTTCTTGACTGATGGTTGGTTGGTTACTCAGGGTTAAAGTGCTTGAGGTTGTGGGGCTGTCAAGCATCAATTCTGTGGAGTGGCTTAGAATGATCAAAGAAGTGTTTTTACAGTATTTTAATTGATACAAAAGCCTGTAGAACCCATTATGACCGATCACATTTGAAATATGAGCGATCAGAACTTATTTCAATCGATTAAAACACGTTTCAATGGATTAAAATCACTTAAAGGGTCAGAATGATCGGTCAGAATGCAGTTATGACCGATCAGAGTTGGTTATGATCGATCAGAATTGAATTATGACCGATTAGATCTGTTTCAATCGATTAAAATGCATTTCAATCGATTAAAACAACTTGGAAAAATTTTGTTCAAAGTTTTAATCGATTAAAACTTCTTTTTATCAGCTAAAATAACTTGGAAAGTTTTATAAAAAAGTTTTGCAGTATATCAATCGATTAAAACACGAAACAGTTAGGAAAAAGTTCCTTAAATAACCTTTGATTTCATCAAACTCAAAAGATCTTCATCATTTTTAATTAATTGAAAAACTCCTAAGTTTCATACATTGAGACATTTCTTAACTAACACAATCTAATGATGCGAAGTAGATGCACATGCAATATTGGGACATGTTCTTCTGCTATGACTAGGGGTATGACAATATGAACATTTTTTAATCCTATTTTGATGTTCTGTAATGTCCATCTCAGTTCTTATACGACTTGATTTTGGTCGGCCCCTTGAAGTTCTTTTCATTTCTGGATTTGCACACAAAGTATGTCCTGTGTATGTTGGCCAATATTCTTCATTTCGCAATAACCCAAATTGTGTTCCGTATACCTTTGAAACTTGTTGTAAGGTATACACTGAATTAATATAGTTGTTGAAGTCATGGTGTGCATGCTTGCATGCAGCAAGAACATGTGAACAAGGCATGTGAAATTTTTGGAATTTCCCACAGTCACACCATAACTCATCAAGGTGAACTGCAAACTTCCCTGCTGGTCGAACTTCACGCGGGTTTTGTGTTTCTTCTACTACAAATTTTGTGGTAGACCTGTCAAACGTTATGACCCTGTGCGTGTTTGCCTGTGTTTGTGCTTCCTCTAAATTCTTGACCAAAATTTCAGAGTATACATGACCAGCATTGATGATGGCATCTATCTGCCTCCCTCTTTCAATGAAAAATTTGTTGCAACGGGTGTACGTTGCGGTGACCATGGAGCAAATAGGTAGATTTCTTGTTTTTTTCAAAACAGAGTTGATAGACTCTGCTATGTTGGTCGTCATGTGGCCCCAACGTCGCCCATTGTCCCATGCAAGTGCCCATTTTTCTCTAGGTATCTCATCCAACCAATTAGCTGCTTGTATGTCACATTGCCTCAAGATGTTGTAATAATAG